AAGAGGGAGGGGGGGCTCTCCCGGGAAGGGAGTGGGGGGCGCCCAGTAGGGCGCCGGCACCCCAGCGTAGAGGGCCTCGTGTAGCCCTCCTTTTGGTATCTCTTAAGTGCCGGCCAGAAGATCCGCCCTGGGATCTTCGGCGCAGGGCGCCGTCACCGGCCCCATGAGCCGCCTGCGAGGCCATTCAGTGCTCATGTGGCACGGCCTGAGCAGGCCTAGCAATGCCTCGGGCCGACCGGCGCCCAGAATTGTTGGTGCTGGCCAGCAACGTGGCCGGCGAGTGCCGTCGTTGCATTGGTGGCGACCACCGCAGAAGCGGTCAGCAGGTGGGAAGGCATCGCTCTCTTTGTAAGGATATTGTCCGTATTCATTGTCTGATCAATACTTCTGCCTGGATGGCACCTGTGTGCCCAACATGGCGACCCTCGGCCTCCCTCGTGAGTCCACCTCATGCTGATCATTCTCGTCGCTAGCTCAAGCCGAGAAGTGGTCCGCCGACACCAGGAGGAGCGCAACCATCATGGCTGCAGCCTCAGACTGACCGGGTTAGGTCATATCACCGGCGTGGTGGCCCAGAAGTGCGACATTTGCTGCCCGCAGAGCGCTAGCAGCCCACTAGCCGGCACGTCTGTGCGTCGTGCGGGGCTGAACTTCAGGCACGCTGCACGCGGCTTATCGTCGAGAAGAGCTCAACCCCGGCCAGTGAGTGATGGATCTGATCATAATCAATCCCTACTGTGCTGGGGGGCTCACAGATCAGCCGTTCAGAGCTCTGATATTGGTTCCCGGCAGAAGATCCTCTAGAGGATCTTCTGCGTCGGCCAAAAAACCTTTTCAAACGAGACACGATGACCCAACAATGACCCCCACGGCCAGCCTGGACATGCAACCCTAGCCTAGGACCGCGCTGCGGTGCCGAAAGGGGCTGGAAGATCCGCCCGGGATCTTCGGCACTCGATCTAAAGAGATATAAAAAAAGATCCCGCCGCGGCCGCCGGGCCCGCCCGGCACGGCGCTCTCGCCGAACAATGCGCAAGGCGGGCTTATCACAGAAGCGCACTTTCGATGGCGGCAGCCGGAGCGCTGGGTGTAACGCGCCGCTGCCGGTGGGTGAGTCTCTGAAAGCGACGCCTGTGCGGCGGGGCTCACGGCATCGACGGGCGGCTTCAGACGCATGGCTCAACCCGTGGCATGAGCTGCAGCATGCCCGTGCGCCGGCTGCGGCCCCATCAGCGGCGGCAGAGGCGACGGGGGCGGGGGCGGGGGCGAGTGTGGCTTCGACGGCCTCGGCCGGGCCTGCGGCATCGGGGAACGCGCGTGGTATGGAAGGGTGCTCGGGCCAAGTGGAGGCGGAGGCTGCAGAGTCGGTGACAGCGATGCAGGTGGGGGGAGCGGGGGCGGATGCCAAGATCGAGGCGTCGTTAAGGGCTGTCGATGTCACCGAGATTGAGGGTGGCGGGACCTTCTGCAGCGCTCCTGCTTGCGGAGCGGTCCCCGAGGTGACACTTCCTAGACACTTCCTACCACTCCTAGTTAGCACCTCCTGACACCTCCTAGACACCTCCTAGACACCTCCTAGACACCTCCTACACGCCCCCTACACACTGGTAGACACCTCCTACACGCTCCCTGGCACACTTCTTGGCGTTCCCGACCGCGGCCGCACCTCAGGTCAGTAGCAGCGGAGCGTTTAAAACAGCAGAGGCAAGAGAAACACCTCAGGTACCCTGTGAGACAGCGGAGATATAGCCGAGATACTGGTGTAGCCGAGAGGAGGCTGTCTCTCCGCGCGCCCGAGATGTCTCTCGGCTATCTCTCCGCCCCGGGTAGAGTCTCTCGGTACCCTGTGAGGCGGCGCAGAGACGCGTGAGCTGCGCAGCTGTGAGCTGCGCTGCTTCGGCACAGCCACACGGGCACCGCGCTTGCGCTGCTCTGGGGGGGGTGTCTGGGCGGTCTTATGGAGCTGTCCAGGAAGGGGCTGGGAGGTGGTGCAGGTGTCTGTGCAGCGCCGTGCGGCCAGCCCGCTCGTAGCGTCTGGGGAGTGTCTGGGGAGTGTCTAGGAAGTGTCTAGGAAGTGTCTGG